AAGAAACAACTTTAACAAATCATATATGAAGCATAGTAGGCAAACTTCTCCAATCTTCACATTCTTTTACCATAACTAAAATTCTCCACCAAAAATATCACAAAATTGTTTATTTGTCTTCATATTACAACAATGGCTTCCATGGTTAATGTTATGAGTCCAATAGTTACGAGAAATCTCATTACCAAATTCAAAACTCAACGGCTGAAACCGGATCTACCTTCTCTACAACATTCCAGCTGGTTCAGTGCAATCAAGAATGATCCAAGAAAGATGATAAATAAGTATGCTTCAAGGAGAAATATCGTGGTTTCATGTTTAGATCGACCTAATTCTAGGCCTAATCAAATCTCTGGGTATGATGCTGTTATGAAATTTTATTCCTCTATAAACGAGAAGAATCAAGATCAATTAAGTAGTTGTATTTCAAGCGATTGTTTTATCGATGATTTCTCCTTTTCAAAGCCTTTTCGAGGAAGAAAAGTAAGAAATTTTCTATAAGAACTCTTTGCAAATATATAAATCTATACTATGTGTATATTATACATTTCAAGATTTGTTTTTGTGAATGAACTGAAATAATTTTGCAGGAAGCTATGAAGTTCTTTGAAGAACTTGTGAAGAGTATGGGACAAAACGTTAAGTTTTGTGTTGAAAATGTGTGTGAAGGAGATGGACATAGTGCTGCTGTTAATTGGCATCTTGGTACGTATTAGTACATATATATCTCTAATGCTTATTGCCTAATTATATATAGGGTATTTTTAACAATTTCCCTTATATATATGTAATTAGATAATTTGATAGTCGAATTGGTCTTCCTTTCATTTTCTGTTTATTGTTATGAAGAATGGAAAGGACGAAAAATTCCCTTTACAAGAGGATGTAGCTTCTATGAATTTACAGATGAAGGAGGAAAACTGGTTATAAGGTGTAACTTGTTTTTTTTTTAGGGATACATTTTTTTTCTAACAACAAGCATTTATATTTATGTAGGATGGTATACTGCATACATAAATGATATGTTTAGTGAAAAAAATATCTCAATTTTTATTTATTTTAAATCTATACTAATTAACAAATAATCTTGTAAATGATTTGACAAAAAAATTCAGAAACGCGAGGATTTTGATTGAATCGCCAATTAAACCGGGAGGAATCACATTGGTAAAATAGTTATTCTCAATTTTTACAACGAATAATATAGATGAGAGGTATTTTGATACACTTTTACATTTATTATATTGATAATATTTTGTTCAGAGCCTGTTAAAGAACATCACCTTCTTGTTCGACGAATTTCCAAAAGGAGCTGAGTGTAAGTTTTCAATATTGATTTATTATTACTTATCACATTTCATTCAAAATTCTTAAGCGCAATGTTTTGTTAAAATATTCTTTGTTCTCTCAAATGTTTCAGTGTTTTTGGAGAAACCTTATGCTATAATCCAAGGAACAATACGAATTTATGGACTATTTTTGGCGCCACTCGTAAACCATGTAATGGCAAGCTACCTGAAGCTATTAAGCAACATGGCCGAGTTCTTCTTATTGGTCGTCAAAATTATCATCAAAATTCGAAACCTCTTCTTCAAATAGAAGAAACAATTAAGGATTACATGTTATTATTCTTAATCATCTTTCCCTATATGTGATGATATCATTTTACTAACCCCATTATATGATTATTTGTATTTAAATTTTTTTTTTAAAAACATGAAAAATCTTGAGGGGTTGGTAAATAGAGATATTAAATTTTTTTTTTTTGTGATCCTGCTCACAAACTTAAGGTTAAATTTTCGGGGTCTCGACCTACTCACAAAACTGATGTTAAATTTTGATAGAGGGCAAAAGAAGCTGCCCAAATCAGAATTTGTTTATGACCATGTAAAATGGTAACTACATCGGAACAAGAGCAAATCAAATACAAAATCGTTACCGTTTTAAAGTCTTTTACTAATTAATCTCTTTAAACCTTTTTTTCTTTTTTTGGACAAACATCTCTTTAAACCATTTTTAACAATCACTTACCGTTAAAAAAAAAAATACTCTGTACCAGTTACATTTACATTGAGCCCAAAGTCTAAGCCCAAATTATAAACAAAAAAAATAAAGAAGCGAAAAGTTCTTTACGTTTTTCGCTTGTAAGAACAAAATTGCAGAGAAAAAAGAGAGAATTTGATTACTGAGGCAGTGAAGATGAGGACACTGTGGAATCACTTTAGTGCCATTTCCAGTTGCAAAGTTTCTCCAAGAATCAGAATTATATCTTCAGCAAATCTGACCTCAAATCGAAATCTTTCAACCATTTCTTCTACTGAAGATCCCGAGCTCAGAGATTTTGTGGGTTTTTTAGAATCTCTCAAAAACTATGAGAAATCAGGTGTACCAAAAGGAGCTGGAACTGATTCTGATGATGGATTCGATCTCGGTCGAATGAAACGTCTCATGCTTCGCCTTCAGAATCCTCATTCCAAATACAAGGTTCGTGCTTTTTGCTAATTCACTATTTCTCTTACTGATTGCTAAGTTAAAGGTCTCACCTTTAGATTTGGATTGTTTTTTCTTTTTGTATTCTGATTATTCTCTTATGTATTGAAAAGCACTTGTTATTGTTGGAAGTTGTTTATTTAAAGGTCTCATCTTTAGATTTGGATTGTTTTTTGTATTATGCATATTTTGTTCGCTGGTTCATGATTAGTGGAAGGTGAGATTAACAAGTAGGGCAGTGATTATAGGTTGTTCATGTGGCTGGAACTAAGGGAAAAGGGTCAACTTCTGCTTTTCTATCTAATATCTTACGAGCTGGAGGATATTCTGTTGGTTGTTATTCTAGGTACATAATGCTGACTTTGGATTAAGATTTTACTATATCTTGAGTTTGAATCTTTTATGGTTACTTACATGAGCTTTTGTTCTTTATTGCAGCCCACATATTCTGAGTATCAAAGAACGTATCTCTTGTAATGGAGAACCTGTCTCTGCATCCACTCTTAATGATCATTTCTATTCAATCAAACCGATTCTTGAACAGTCTATTCAAGAGGAAAATGGTTCTTTGAGTCATTTTGAGGTTAGCAATCTTAGCTTTTACTAGACTCTGTCTTCCACACAGTTTCGTTTTGTTTCTTATATAGGCATTTCTTTTTGGCAGATTCTCACTGGGATAGCTTTTTCTTTATTTGAAAAAGAAAATGTCGACATTGCGGTTATAGAGGTTGGCTCATCTTTTTGCATTAGACAATCTAAGGAGACTTTCTTATGCTATTGTTTAGAAGCTTGTCGTCTAGTTCAATTAGCTTATGTATAGTACTTTTTAATATTTGTTTGGGTATCATCAGGCTGGGCTAGGAGGAGCTCGAGATGCTACAAATGTTATTGAAAGTTCAAATCTTGCTGCATCGGTCATAACAACGATAGGTGAGGAACACATGGCTGCTCTTGGGGGTTCCTTGGAAAGTATAGCAGAGGCCAAATCTGGAATTATTAAACACGGTCGCCCAGTTAGGTGGTTTTTATGTATTTGCTTGTCTTATAACCACTGGATTATCAGCACATTGATAGATAGGGTTCTATGTGTTGTTATAAAACTTGTAGGTGGTTTTGGGTGGGCCGTTTCTTCCTCATATCGAGGGCATTCTTCGTTCTAAAGCAGCAACAATGTCGTCATCGGTTATTTTGGCATCTAATATCGGATCTAGTTCGTCAATCAAAGGCATCATCAACAAAAATGGGATTGGGCTTTGCCAGTCCTGTGACATCGTGATACAAAATGAGAAAGATGAGAAACCAGTAAGTTTCAAAGACTTTTTATTCTCTTATTTAAAGCAAGAATTTCATGTGGGGTTCTTAATATATCGACAAATTGTACATATAAATGCAGATTGTTGAGCTTAGTGATGTAAACCTACGTATGCTTGGACATCACCAGCTCCAAAATGCTGTTACTGCCACATGTGTGTCTCTTTGTCTTCGCGATCAAGGTATGATGCACTTTGAATCTCTATATAAAGCAAAAAAAGAATTGAACATGCTTACAGATTTTGTTACTTTTATCATGGAATAATCAGGATGTGGGAGAGTGACAGATGAAGCAATTAGGATTGGTTTAGAGAATACTTGTTTACTTGGGAGAAGTCAGTTTCTGACACCAAAAGAAGCAGAGACTTTACAATTACCTGGAGCAAAAGTGCTTCTTGATGGAGGTTGGTAATAGCTTTAACGTCTATATGTTTCAAATCTGAGTCAATTTGAGTTTTTGTGTCTTCTAGCCACTTTGCTTGAGACTTTTGGTTTACGGTATCAACCTTTGGTCTGTTTATCAGCCCACACCAAAGAATCTGCGCGAGCTCTAAAGGATATGATAAAGAAAGATTTTGCAGAGAAGAGGATTGTGTTTGTGATTGCAATGGCTAGTGACAAAGATCATGTGTCCTTTGCGAAAGAACTTCTCTCAGGTCTAAAACCAGAAGCAGTGATTCTAACAGAAGCTGACATTGGTGGAGGTAAGGTCAGATCAACGGCGAGCTCGGTTTTGAAGGAATCCTGGATAAAAGCAGCTGATGAATTGGGGTCAAGGTCTACGGAAGCTTCAGAAAACAAAACTGTGTTGGATTCCTTAAAGCTTGCCTACAAGATTCTCTGCGATGACAGAAGCACTAGTGACTCAGGAATGGTTATCGTAACGGGTTCACTTCACATAGTAACTTCAGTCTTAGCTTCTCTTCAACATTAAATTTCCTTATCTTTACGAGTATCTTATAAAAAACTCAGTTTGTGTTAAACCAAAATAAATCTTTTTTTTTGGATCTTCACGGTAGTTGGAACCTTCTGAGCGAGGCAGAGACTTTCAAATAAAGCAAACAAACAAGTAGGTGAGATTATTAGTTGTAGTTTTTGTCCCACATCGGTTGTGTAGAATAGTGAGAGGCTCGTGGGCTTACTATATAAAGAGAAGAGGTGGCTTTGATAGAAAGTATGATCCTTCAGGCAAGTTAAAGGGGAAATGAGGAATGGGATTAATCTCGCTTTAAATGCGTGATGAGCGTTCCGCTCAAAGCCTGTTACGACTAATTGGGCGCTCCAATTTTTATACCATCTGATCCCTCTCTTGTTCTAACTCTTTTTTTTAATAACATTTTTACGTTAAAAAAAACAAAAAAAAAAACACAATTTTTGTTTTTAATAAAAAAAAAACAAGTTCGCGATGAAAGGTTAATTTTTTTATTTAGCCCACATGATATAATAGCCCTAGTTTTTATAAAATTTTACGAATATATAATAGAATTCTTATAATTGGATGGTAGTAATTTTGTAGTATTTGTCAAGTTCTCTGTGATGCCCATCGAAACCAAACACACAATTTGATTAAGTTTTGAAGAAACCGATGAGTGAATGAAGAAATAAAAAGGTATAAATGTACATGAGGAGCCAAACAACCAGAGCAACTCATCAAACAACTTGTCTGCTTGAGATGTGACTCACATTTCATCACATCTCATCAAACCAATATGTGGTTTCTGAAACCCGAGTAGACTCTGAGGCCCACGATTGGCCCATCTTCGTTTAGGGTTTTGTATCTTCTTCAATTGTTATATATACTTTTCCTTCACGGCAAGAAATCAGAGGAAAAGGAAAATAGGGATTTTAAAAGTGAGAAAAGAAAAAAAAAACATTTTTTGCGATTTGAAACAATGACGTCGATGATCTCCAGTCTTCCAAGAGAGTTGATAGAAGAGATTATTTCTAGGGTTCCCTTGAGATCTATGAAAGCAGTGAGATTAACTTGCAAAAGTTTTAACAATTTATCCAATAGTGAGAGCTTTACGAAGATGCACATTGATAAAGCAGCAACAAGAGAAGAGAAGAATATGATGATCTCGATGATGCCGCACGATCTTTATTTAATGAGCGTCGCCTTGGACGACGTTGATCCATCTGTAGAGCTTAAAGGTCAGCTTAGTTTGCTTGATAATCAAGTTAGTATATATCGAGTCTTCCACTATGAGGGTTTGTTGTTATGCATCTTTGAAGACCCTACTAGGGTTGTGGTTTTGAATCCGTATTTGCGGCAAGCAAGGTGGATCCAAATCAGATTTTCTCACCTTTCAATCGGATGGGACTGTTTCAGGTATGCTCTTGGATACGCAGATAAAGAAACTTGTCGTAGCGTTAAATTCTTGAGGTTTTTAGATTATTCATCCAGGTGCGAGTATGAAATCTACGATTTTGACTCTAGTTTATGGAAAACTCTTGATATCACTCCACACTGGTGGATATCTTGGTCTAGCTATGGCGTTTCTCTTAAGGGAAACACTTACTGGCCTACGAAAGAAAAGAGCTCAAGAGGTGTCTTCGATCACATAATCTGTTTTGATTTTACAAGAGAGAGTTTCGGGCCGCTTCTACCTTTGCCGTTTGGCGCTACGGATCGTGGATATCCATATGTGACTTTATCTTGTGTTAAAGAAGAGAAGCTTGCAGCTTTATTTCAGCAATACTACTCAAACTGCAAATGTGAATATGAGATTGATATATGGATTACAACTAAGATTGAGGATGAAATGGTGTCGTGGAGCAAGTTCTTGAGAATGGATACGAAACCTAATATATATCCAATTGTTTTCTTCATTGACGAGGAGAAGAAAATTTTCATGAGTCTTGATAGCGAATTTCCCAAGACATTTCTTAACACCACTAGAGAGGCTAAATACTTGGATCTCAGAGTATCTGACGGCCAATACTGTCGGCCACCTGTGTGCTCTTATGTTCCAAGTTTGGTCCAAATCAAGAAACCTACACTGAGGCAAAAGGATGAAACAAAGTGTAGTTTAGAAGAGCATTGATTTGCTCAAGAGTACAAGTTGAGATTGGTTTGCTAAGGGCATACACAACGGCGAACCCTTTGGCCGAGTGTATGTATTAAAAAACTCAAAACAAATACAAAAAGTGAAAAAAAGTTGAGACTCGAGTGTAGCAGTACACCCGGGTATAAAGCATTAAAAAAAAGGAAAAAAAATTCCTTTTCTTTTCTTTAATTACATACACCCGCTGGTCGAGTGCTGCAATGTGTATGGTCTAAGTTAAAGGTAATTTTTTGTACTCTTGTATCTGAGATACTTTATTGGAAGGGAGGCTTTTGGTGATTACACTAGTGGTCTGTATGCTCTTAGATGCCTATGTTACGTGATAAAGAACCATATATATATGCTTAGACCTGGTCACTTGCTTGGGTCTCTTCTCTTTTTTTTTTTTTTTTTCTATACACCTTTAAACTGTCGCTCGTATCTCACGTTGCTTGCTCTAACATTCATCAGTTCTCTTATTTTATAATTCTCAAAGAGGTTATAAATACAAGTAAAAAAAACAATTGTCACCAACATTATTTTGTTTGGATTTTCTGCTTATTGTAGGCATGTTCTTTTTGCTTAAGAAGTATAGCTTACTTAACCTTTCATATTTTTTTATGTAATCTCCGAATACAAAACAAAATAAAGTTTACGCTATATAGAGTGACGTCAAGATTTCATCAAAACTATAGGTTAATATCAATATTTTTCATGATTTTATTTCATACATCATAAATAGGTTAAGAAAACAAATCATAACATTTTAAACTAAATAGGAGAATTTCATCAAAACTATAGGTTAATATCAGTTTGGAAGAGAGGACAGACACTTTTTTCTCTCAAAACCTAATCGCCGCCTCAAAAACCTAGATCTAAATATCGCCGTTTACGGTGGCCGCCGTCCTTCCGACGGTGGCCCCGTGTGTGTTTAGGCTTTAGCTTTGTCTTTTCTTTCTTCTCTTTTGCTTTGCTTTCGAATTCCTCGAAGTTTTGATTGCGATTTCAGATCTAGAAATGGAGATGTCTTTCAATGTCATTTCTTTGGCTCAGATGGAGTTGATTCGACTGGTCTGTACCTTTGCCAATCGAGTCGATTCTCTGGAGTTGGTTCAACGGAATTAGAAATGGTCCAAATCCGAGCTATCCTGTTTAAGTTTTTTTGATTTTTCTCTTGCCTTTGGTTCAGCATCGGTGTGAAGTCTTCTCGTAGAGGAACAGAATAGGTTATCATCCTCTCTTTGAAGAAGTTGTTCTCGGGGCCCTTTTACCTCGCCCAGCAGATGAAGGTTCCTCCTCCCCGCATATTTAAATAAGGTTTTCAACTGGAGCATTTCAGCAGCTGTAGCCTTGTGTCTTCCCCTGGATTGGCTGAAGCACTCTTCAAGAGGTACTAGGTTGAGTTTCAATTGAAGATATAGCGGTCGAAAAGGGGTGGTTTTTTCAATCTTTGGCTGGTGCTCTTCTTCATCTCGGTTCTACAATTTCCTTGTTAATCTGTTTGGCTGCTCTATCCATTCTCTCTCGTGAGCGTTTTGTGTCTGTTCTCCGAGTTTTCTTCATTTGTGGACTGTGTTGTCGTCTGCCTGGGCTTGGAGACCCTTTCCAAGCTTCTCTTCCGACTGCCTTTGGTTCTTAGAGTTAAATCCGCTTTGCTTTGATGGTTTTTGTTTTGGTTTAGAATTATCTGTTTTGGTTGTATGCTTCCCTCGTTTGGGCGTATGTTTCCCTTATCCTTTGGGGCTCTTGTTTCCCTTAATCGTTAGGGCTCTTGCACTCCCTTGTTTGGGCTGATGTTTGTAATATCTGGATAACTCAATGAATCAATGAATCCTTTAGACGGAAAAAAAAAAAAAGGAGAATTTTAAAAGGAGGGCAGAGTGTAAAAAGATTCATGTAACGATCCAACATTTCTTCATGAAATTCTAACGTAAAAAACAATCATATTGTGAAATGGTTTTAGAGAAAGAAACAAAGTTCCAAAAGACACATTCGTTCTCAAATCGAAGGTACTATGTAACCTTAAATAAGACCAAAAAGAAACAAGAAAGTCCCTTTCAAGGAAGATCGGATCCAGCAGCTGGACCAGCACCACCACCAAAACCACCGGCTCCACGACCAAACCCTTGCCTAGCTCCACCAGCTCCTCCCTGTACAACCCCAAAACATTTAATTACACACCAACATAAATTGCAGGACATGAAACCATACTCATGAAAGAAAGACGTAGTGGCAGAGAATAGAACATTTAGGGAAGCCAAGTGCACAACAGATTAAAGCAATGCAATTACAGAAAGTACCAAAGAGTCAAACAGTTCATAAAATGATTTTAAGTAAGACTTAGTGTCAGAGGCTTGAAAATTTAGGGAACCTAAGAACACAAAATGTTGTTGAGAGATAGTGGCTTCAGAAGTTTCCTCAAAATTAAGCATGCTACTAATGCATAACAACTAAAAGGGTTCACAATATGATTTAAAGCAAGGAATAAGTATCAAGAACCAACAATTCATAGAGAATGACAAGAAAGGAGAGATTTTGTACCCTGTTGAAGGCAGGATTGTAATCAGCAGGAGCTCCACTCTTGTCACCAAACTCTCCACCTGATCTCGGACCTCCACGGTATGCATCTCTGTCACCAAACTTCCTCTCTCCATCACCACGAGGTGGACCACTGTATAAAACAAATCAAAACCGTCACATATTAACACTTTACAAGTAACATGAAACAATAACACAAGATTGACAATTGAAGATTCAAGTTGATTACCGGGGACGGTCACCACCTCCGAAAGGTCGACCAAGAGGCTTCTGTTGCTTCTTCAAAGTAGCAGGAACAATCTCAGAAGGGAGATTAAGGTAAGTCCTGAGAAAGTCAATGCCTTCATTTGTGAGGAACCAGTAGTAATGCATCCAAGCAAAAGTCTCTCTCACATATTCCTTAGATTTGAAACTCTGCATCAACTTGATAACTTGCAGATTTGGAACACTCTCAATCAAAGGATGTTGTGGTAAATTGAAATCCTTTTTAGCAAACAAAACACCCTCTGCACACAAAATAACCAAAATCACAACCATTTCTAAGTACCCTTCTCTTGAAACATTCCAAATCAATCACTATGCTTAAACCCATTAACGTACAAGACAACTAGATTCATAAGCTCAAATCAAAATGGTACCTTTGAAGAGGTACTTGGAGATCTCACGGCGATTCTTCTCTGATATGATCTGCAAATACGAGAAACAAGATCAGTTTTTAATACA